ATCTATATATCTATATATCTATATATCTATATATCTATATATCTATATATCTATATATATCTATATATCTATATATCTATATATCTATATATATCTATATATATCTATCTATATCTATCTATATATATCTATATATATCTATATATATCTATATATATCTATATATATCTATATATATCTATATATATCTATATATATCTATCTATATCTATCTATATCTATCTATCTCTATCTATCTATCTATCTATCTATCTATCTATCTATCTATCTATCTATCTATCTATCTATCTATATATCTATCTATCTATATATCTATCTATATATCTATCTATATATCTATCTATCTATCTATCTATCTATATATCTATCTATATATCTATCTATATATCTATCTATATATCTATATATATCTATATATAACGTTTAATCGAAAGGTACGTAATTTACAGGGATATATTTCGGAACATAGTAAAGTATTTTAAGCTAATAATATCTACTTATATTATTTCAAGGATGATTTGAGCCGCCACATGAAAATGCACGAGCGCCGTGGCGCGGAACGCGAATATACTTGTAATGTATGTGGTGAAGTATTCCGAAATATATTTCCATTACAAGCCCATCAACGCGAAGTCCACCAAGTTGGTCGTGGGAAACGTACCAAGACGCCGACCCGGCGAACGAAGAGACAAAGAACTGATGAACCAGGTATGTATAGATGAAAATATTTCGATTGCTGACTTTGTATTTATACAGATATTTTTTCTCTTTTAAGAACCTACAAGATCTTCGACACACGTTAACGAAGGTAAGCATTTGTGTGTTTTCCGTTGCTATGGTTGTTAAACACCACTAGTACATTTTTTTTCCTTTTCAGGTGCTTCTATGTCTGCTGTCGTCAACAAAGGTATGATATTCAAATTTTTATACCGCATATAGTATATTGATTGTGGTGATTTGATGTGTATATTGACAATGTTAATTACTCGCAACCTCGGTTCTAAATCATTGCCTGGAGAAAGACTTTGAAATCCTAACATTTAAGAAAGAAAGACTTTGAAATCCTAACGTTTACATTTCATGTTTGTGTTTGTGTTTGTGTTTGTGTTTGTGTTTTGTTGATGTTTGTGTTTTGAAAACCTGATAAAAATAATCGAGTAATTTTTAAGCGTGGGTTTATAGTGTGGAATGTTCCTAATTATTCGTGTTAGACTTATGTTCATTTGATTTAGAACTATTAATTTATGTCATTGTACGAGTATTTACGCTACATCTGTTTTGTAACATTCGCTAGCGTTTTATAGAAAATAATCAAGTAATTTTTGTTGCGTGGGTTTATCATGTTGCTATGTGAAATTTGCATGTCCCCAATTTATTCATGTTAGACTTATGTCATTTTTTTACGAATCGGGTGTTTGTATGACAAAATTAGTGCAGAGCTCTAGACAAAAATAAAGAATCGGGTGTTATTTCTATAGGACCCCAACCGTTCCCTCAAGATTCCATATTACCCCCATCTAACCTTCCTTCCCAACTCCACCGAGATCATTGGCGTGCTATACGTACGCGACAAAGCCGAGGCAATCGAGTACAAGATTGGTACAACTATCGTCTAAGCTCAGTAAATATGGGTCAACTTGTCAACAGCATACAGCACATATTCGAAGATCAAACCACTGTCTTTAAGTTAAATCTCTCCTTTGGTTTCGTATTGTTTAATAACGAGACACAGCAGACGCAATATCACCACCCCTCAGCAAACAACAGCCGTGTCTTCGACTCCCCGTTCCAGATTTGTAATCGTGAAGATTTAGCCCAAGTGTGTGAAGCAATGCAAAACATCGACATTCATGAATGGGCTCGACAACAGCGACCTAATTCCAAATGGATTGTCATGGATGTTACCAATGTTACCTTCTACGTCACCAAACTTCGAGACTATCCCATAGGCTGCAGTGTCCGACTACCTAAATACATACTGGAGAGCCGTGCCATTGTGTCGCTTGACTGTAATGAACATACAGGACTACCATACGAGGATAAACTGTGCTTTTTCCGTTGTTTGGCCCTACACCGTGGTTGTCATCCCCATAACCTGGAGCGCGACACTCACTACTTCTATGAGCAGTATTCTCAAGATGATGATTTTGACGGCGTGACACTCGAAGAACTCCAAGAGTTGGAAAGGTTATTCAAGTTGAACATTTTCGTGTATCGCCTTACAGAGCTACATGACGAAGATGACGACACGACCTCCATCGTGGCTCAACTCATACAGCGCTCCCATCGTAGCTACGCCAATTCGATGTACGTGAACATCTACGGCAGTCACTTCAGCTATATTAAGAATTTGGCGATGTATTCCAAGTCCTACTGTTGTTCCAAGTGTGACAAAATGTGGAAGACAGCAAAAGCCTTGAACCAACACGAACGAACATGCGAAGCAACTATACGTCACATCTTCCCTGGTGGTGCCTACAAAGTTCCACAATCAATCTTCGATTTGTTGGCTGATGAAGGAATCGAAATCCCTGAAGACCTCAAGTACTTCCCTTATCGTGCCACCTTTGACTTTGAGTGTTATTTCAAACATGAAGTTAACATGGGAAGCACAACATATCCCCTTGAGTGTCTCTGTTTGCTCCAACGTCCCTGGTTATGATCAACCCAAATGCTTCGTCTCATCTGGCAGTACAAGTGAAATGATCCAACAGTTCGTGGAATATTTGGTTGAGGTCAGCCAAGAAAGTTATGGATTGCTGCTGGACCAATTCTCTGACGTTTTTCGTCAAATTGATGAACGAGTTAATGAGGTATAATTCACACGTATTAGATTCTTAGTATATTTCTTATCCTTAATATTTTTTCTTATATCTTTAGGTGGGGGAAAACGAGGTTATGGAAGTTGCCGCGGGGGAGGATAATGAGGTAAATTATAGGAAGGTTATTTTTGCACTTATATTCTTTATATTCTAATATATCTTATTTTTTAGCAAAATACAGAGGAGCAGATGATAGAGGAAATGGTGGGATGTTTGATGGGACTGAATAGTGAGGTATATAACATAAGGTTTGAACTCAGCAGTGGTCTTTCCTGTGCTTACCATATGTGTACCTTTTTAGGCGAGTGAAGATGAAGACGAAGTGGATAAAGCTAAAGACATTGAAGAGAAATTTTAGCGGTTATATAGATTAGTAGGGATGTGTAAGTATCTTGCTTTTTACTTATGACACCTTTTCATTTATTTAGGATGTGGTCCATCCTCTGCTCAAACTCCAAGATAAGTTGTCAGAATACTTACAAGAGTTACCAATTCTTGGATTCCACTCTGGTAAATATGATATTAACGCTGCGAAAAACCCCTTCTTTTCACATCTCGTCAAACACGAACAAGTTAAGTTTGTGATAAAGAGGAACAATAACCACATGTGTCTTAAGACTCAGCACTTAAAATTCCTCGATATCACAAACTATCTGGCTCCGGGATTTAGTTACGAGCAGTTCCTCAAAGCGTACGAGTGCTCCCAGACCAAAGGCTACTTCCCGTACGAATGGGTCGACTCCCTCAACAAACTCAATCATTGCTCCTTACCACCACGCGAAACCTTCCATTCCACTCTATCCGGAACCGACATCACTGAGGAACAGTATGAGTATTGCCAGGGTGTATGGGACGAACAGAATATGACAACTTTCCGCGACTTTCTCGTGTGGTATAACAACCTTGACGTAGTCCCCTTCCTTCAAGCAATTGATAAAATGACAAGAAAGGCAAGAAAGGAATTTCTGGCAAGAAAGGAACATTGATATGTTTAAGGACGGTGTGAGTGTGCCTGGCTTAACTATGAAATATTTATTTTCAAACATTCCAGGCACCTACTTCTCCTTGTTCAGCGAGAAAGACAAGGATATGTATTATTCAATGAAGGATAATAACGTAGGGGGCCCCAGCATTATCTTTAACAGGTACCACGAGAAAGAGAAATCATTCATACGGAAGGAAGAAATGCGACCCAGAGGAAAAGAATCGAAACCCTGCAAAAATGTAGTTGGTTACGATGCCAATGCGCTCTACTTGTGGGCCATCATGCAAGACATGCCAACGGGGCAGTACACAAGACGGTTAGAGGAGGACGGGTTTAAGAAACGGTGGAGTGGAAAAATGGCGATCGAATGGTTAGAATGGCAAGCGTACAGTCGCTGCATTAGTATCAGACACGAGTACAACAACACAGAGAAAAGAATTGGCACTCGTCGTCTCCCTGTTGACGGTTTTCACGCTGAATCACAAACGGTGTTTCAGTTTCATGGTAAGTTGTTGTTTTAGTGTAATTAGTTAAGATTAAATTAATTAGCTAGGATTAAGTTAATTGTGTGGGAGTGAGCTAATGAGTTTTTTAGCGATTGCGTGGGCTTGTAGGATAACTTTATTTTTCTTTTGTAGGTTTAACTGTATTGCACTTTATTTTAATAGGTTGTTATTGGCATGGGCACAACTGTCATCTGAACGAAGGGAAAGAAGTAAACGAAAAACGTGATAAGCCGATGAAGGAACTCCTTGAAGATACCCAAAGAAACAGCGCCTATATCACGAAGCAGGGATTCAATCTCGTTGAATGTTGGGAGTGTGAGTGGCGAGAGATGAAGAAACGAAACACACCGCTGCAACGATTCATTGCCACGCAACTTCGCTGACCCCTAGACAAAGTAAAAACGATGACAACTCGATCAATTGTCAACGCCGTGAAGAATGATGTGTTATTTGGCTGTGTCGAGTGCGACATCCACGTTCCTGAACACCTAAAAGACAAATTCTCCGAGATGTGTCCCATCTTCAAGAATACCGAAATACGTCGAGAAGACATCGGTGAGTTCATGAAGAGCTATGCCGAACAAAACAACATCATGCCCCGACCTCGGCGGAGTCTCATTGGAAGTATGATCGGAAAGAAGATAATGTTGGCAACTCCTCTTCTAAAATGGTATTTAGAACATGGTTTAGAGGTACGTTTTAAATATTAAAAATTTGTAAAATTGCAGGAGAAAATGTTTAACAAATTGTATTATCGTTTTAGGTAACACACGTCTACCAGATAGTCGAGTATACCCCTAAGCCATGCTTCAAACCTTTCGGTGACGCTGTATCCGATGCTCGTCATGCTGGTGATGCAGACCCCTCCAAAGCCATCATCGCGGACACGATGAAATTGGTCGGGAATAGGTGAGTTTTAAAATCACGCTGTCATGACGTATTCAAGAAATACTCATTTTTTGTATTTCTATACAGCTCATACAGGAAGACCATCACCAACAAAGAGCGTCATCGCAAGGTGGATTACTGCAACGATCATGAGGTTTCTGAATTAATCAACTCACCATTCTACCGCCAAATGAACGTGATCGACGATGACACCTACGAAGTGGAAAGTGCTAAGAAGAAAATAAAGTTGGACTTACCACTACAGGTATGTATTGCATGATCATTTTGTCATTAGAAATATAAATTAATAAATTATTCTTATTTTACAGGTGGGGTTCTTCGTGTACCAGTATGCGAAACTCCGAATGTTACAGTTTTACTACGACTGTTTAGA